CGTGATATTGCTGATAAATTACCAGGACCACCCACGGCCCATTTATTAGGAGATGCACTGATAAGCATACATGAGGTAATATTCCAAAATATTCCAAAATTACTACCCCCAATTTTATTACATTTTCTGATGCATATTGATGTACTTATGCTGTGTAGAAGGTTTGAGCTAATTCCAGCTTTAATTTTTTGAGTTACGGCTATTTTAAGAAAATGCCAAAATTCTGAAAAATACCCAAGGCTATAGCCCATGGTTTTTTCTAAAAAATGGCTCCAAAATCACCCCCAATTTTTATTACATTTTCTGATGCATATTGATGTACTTATGCTGTGTAGAAAGTTTGAGCTGATTCCGGCTTTAATTTTTCGAGTTACAGCTATTTTAAGAAAATGCCGAAATTCTGAAAAATACCCAAGGCTATAGCCCATGGTTTTTTCCAAAAAATGACTCCAAAATCACCCCCAATTTTTATTACATTTTATGATGCATATTGATGTACTTATGCTGTGTAGAAAGTTTGAGCTGATTCCGACTTTAATTTTTCAAGTTACGGCCATTTTAAGAAAATCTCAAAATTTTGAAAAACACCCAAGGCTATAGCCCATGGTTTTTTCCAAAAAATGGCTCCGAAATCACCCCCAATTTTTATTACATGTTCTGATGCATATTGATGTACTTATGCTGTGTAGAAAGTTTGAGCTAATTCCGGCTTCCATTTTTTGAGTTATGATATGCTCAATACAATAATCGGCCCTAAATCAATTCCAATTAATGCCCCTATGACTTTCATTGATGTGATACTGGACTTTACCTGCCAATATTGTATATCCTTGTTATATAGCCAGAACAAGCTATTGCTGTGTTTGAGAAAGCTTTAAAGAAGACACCAAGTGATGCTGTACTTACTAGTAAAGTTGGCAATGCCTACATTAAGATGCATAATTTTAACAAAGTACGTGGAGTTAATTAATATCAATAATTATTAATAGTTATTAGGCGGTTAGTTATTACGAAGCATCTCTCAAAAACATCGACAATTCTGTTTTGAAATGTGAATTGGCACAACTTTATACGAAACTACAAAAATTTGACCAAGCTGAGAGAATATTATTACAGTCGCTCGTAAATAAACAGAGTAAGAAAATAAATAAATAAACAAGTAATTATTAATTAATGAATAAATGAATTTTTATAGATGATGATGTTGAAAATAACTTAGAGCTGCTAAGAGACAATGTTAGCTATTGTCGGATTTTAGTAAAATGTCTACTTGAAAACAAAGCGATACCACGAAGCCATTGAAACACTAGAAAAAACAAGAAAATATCAAACGATCATTGTGAAGAAAGTCATAGTGAATGAACCAGACTCGTTAGCTACCGAGAAAGAAACACTTGCAAAGTATGTTTATTGTTTTTGTTGTTTGTTGTTTTGATTTTGTTGTTAGTATATTACATCAGTTAGCCAAGGAGGTTATTAACGTGGACAATCAAATGTCGCCAAAAGCCGAGATATTTTATAAAGAAGCTGTTGAGAATTGTCCTAATACTGCACTTGTAAGTCTGTTGGTATTTATTGTTGTTTAGTGCCGTTATTTTTACTGTTTATTGCTTTTGTTTGTTGTTGTTTATTGCTGTTACTTTTTTTGTTTATTGCTGCTATTTATTGTTGTTTATTGCTGTTGTTTGTTGTTGTTTATTGCCGTTATTTTTTGTTGTTTATTACTATTCCTTGTTTTTGTTTATTGTTGTTTATTGTTGCTGTTGTTTGTTGTTGTTGTTTACAGTATAG